GTAGACCCGTTACAGACAAATGCAGCTGAAATTGACATTATACTGCGAGAAAACTTGATTGAGTTGAAGAGTTAGATTTAAACACGGACTTCTGAAATAGTGGAAAAGTAACGAAATTACAATTAATTTCCCATTGCTCTGGAGGAAAGTTGTATTATATATAATTGTCTTTCCAACAACTTACCTGGTAGAATCAAGATTTAGCAGATTGTCTCCATTATTATCAAAAGCTAGAAACCGCTTAGAAATCTTAAGAGATGTGCGTTTATCTTTGACAAGCATGGATCCTAATACAGAAAGAAACTTGCAAAAATGCTTCAGGGACAAAGATCTCATTGAATAGATGTGTTTGAAACGAATTTTCGTTCGTATAGTTATTTTGAAATTGGTTTCATATTTTGAAACCATATTGCTTGTGAAAGTTTTTTGTTTTGTGCCATGTATAGGAAAATAGTAAATAAATATTGATCTTATTAAAAATATTGAAAATAGTAAATAAATAGCGGTCGTTTCCTTGGAAATGCGAAATATTTTAGATGCTTGTGAAATTGTATGTGCCCAATAAATAGACATAGAATATATCCGATAAAGATACAACTATGTAAAACGGAAGTCATTTTTTACACTATAATAATTTCATGAACCACAGAAAAATTCTGAGTTCAAAGTGGGCTATGATCTAAAAAAGACAAATTCTCGCGAAAGTCTTTATACACATATGTAAATTCTGACTGTCAATGAATACAAAATAAGTGCGACGAAGAACGATAACTGCTGTAGCGAACAAAAGACACGTGTTGAGATCAGTAAGTAGTTTGACTTCAGGAAACGGATTACGGGAATTGATTACAAGCCCAAAGAAACTGCAATTTTATAAACTTTACGTACATGTTCATTTAGTCTTTTAATTGCTAAACGTTTCTCCTATTTGTCATATTTTTACTTTGTTCTCTAAATTCCTGCTTTAGATTGTAAGTTATTTCAATTCTTGTTAATTAAATCTCATTTTCTATTAGGAGCTGTATATTTTACAGCTACTAAAAGACAGTATGGATCTTCTCTGTTAATTTACCCCAAATAATGTAAAAAGTTACTTACCGCAAATATTAATTCACCAAAAATATAAATTATATAAATATAGTTTTTTTTATTATTAAATTGTTGACACTCTCGAAATTATAAAACAAAATTTGTTTTGCTTGCCTGGCAATAACTCCAACCCTCAGAAACGGAGTTATTCACATTTTGTAAGGGCAGATGATATTCAAGGTATTTACAATTTGAAAAGAAAAAAAAATAATCTGATTTTGGCTTGTTTATTGGAGAGAGTGCAAATATTGACCCCACACTTAGAAATAGCGCACCCGTCTTTACCCACCGTGCTGTGTATGACGATAAACTACATCCGCGTACTGGGTAAGACAATAAACTACATCCGCGTCCTGGGTAAGACAATAAACTGCACTCGCGTTCTGGGTATGACAATAAACTACATCCGCGTCTTGGGTAAGACAATAAACTACATCCACGTCCTGGGTAAGACGATAAACAACATCCGCATCCTGGGTAAGACAATAAACTACATCCGCGTCCTGGGTAAGACGATAAACTACGTCAAACAGCAAGGCCTCTGGACGGGAGGTTTTCAGAAGCGTGGAACCACCTCCTCATTGTTGGTGTTCCCACGTCCACCCTGACCCGGGTTGGTAGCACCTGTTAGGATTCCATCTATAGGCAAATAGTTAACCCTCCCTAACTGGGATCAAAACTCTATGAAAATATAAAAATGGGTTTAATACCAGAAATAATTTGTAAAAAATTATTATCAGCAATAAATTTTTGAAGAAAAATTATTACTAACAGTATATTTTTGAAAAAAAATATTACCAGCTATATATTTTTGAAGGAAAAAATATTACCCGCAATAAAAGATTTATCAGCATTAAATAACTCATTAAGGTTCATATGCCGTAAACCAAAACAAACCCGTGTCACTCATATTTGGATTGATCGCAAATGTCAACTCAACCGGAGTCGCAATGAAATAAACTCGCTCTTGGAGAATTTGGTGTTAATTTTAGTAAATATAAAAACTTTTTTTTTTTTTATTTTGGTGAATTATGGGGAGGATTATCAGAAAACATCCGACAGTAACTCTTTTCACTTAGTAAAAGACAATATAAGGTTACAAATTCTTTCTAATCGCATTTGCTGTGTCGGTAGATCATATTATGTGTTCATGTGTTTTCTCAGGTTTGTTTGTTCCTATTGACATCTCTATTTATGAAGATACAGTAACGTTTCCTCTTTGCATTATATATGAAATATTTAGTATATTAAAGGAGTTCAAAGAATTTTCAATGCCTTTCCCGTGTAAATATTGAGTGTTGCAAATTCTAAGTGCTCTTAAAATGAAATCGATAAATTATTACAGATTTTATTTTGTTGTTATATTGTGAATAGAATTTTGTGTGATCATTCTTGTTGTATTTTCGATCGGCTCTTCGTTTTTAATCGATTGGGCATAATATTGAGAAAAGGTAACTGTTTGTTTCTACCTCGTTAATATTTTCCAATGCATGTTCGATGTTGTTTATTTGTAATTCTATATGTGTAACACAGGTTTTTTCAATTTTAGAATTCAATTTCAAAATTTTTAAAATGTCCGCCTGTATTCATTTCAATCAATATTCGGATAATTATACGTAGAGGAAATATTGTTTTGAGGACTTTGAGATACTTCTGAGAATTCCGATGTTTACTTCTCTTACAAATATTGTGAACGCAATTATAAAATTCGATTTGATTTTACACAATGCATTTAAACTAAGACAATGCGCAGTAAAGATCTTAGTACGACCCATTTCACATTGATCAGAAAACCACACATGCGAATTAATTGAAGAACCCGTTTCCTAGTCTGGCATAGTACATTTCCGCAATCTTAAATCGTATTTAATGCTATTGAGAAAGCATAATTATTTCCTATTACTTGTGTTATCTCTTATAAAAAATTTGTTCTATAAATGTGATTGAACTACTTGCTTTTGAAGTGATCTTTCTTTACTATAAAGTTTAATATATTAAAAATGATGATTCTATAGTTTTTTTGTTTGGTTACTTCCCCTACTAGCTTAAGAGTATTGCTTGCTTCAATGAAGACAGAAATCAAATTGCAGTCATATGTTGATTGCTGTTAACAGGTGTTGGCTAAACGTTGCATCAATAAGATTAATTACTTCACAGCCCTACCAAGTAATCTTTCCAAAATGTATCTAATGTTAGTGACATTTAGTTAGAAATCAGGAGGCGGATTTGATTGAAAACCTTTTAGAACAGCTTCTTATGCTAAATTCATAATGATCTGAACAGTTTTGGTGCCCAAAGTTGAATTGTCATATTTCTTTTAAATAATTATACTTGCTTAAATAAACCAGGTTTAATCGAGATAAATGACCATTAACAGACAAAATTATTTTTTTAGTAATGTTGCATCTAATACAAGTCCCAAGTGAGGTAGTTGCATAAGAGAAGATAAGTTGTACAGATTATGAGGAAATGGACGAAACCCAACGGTTGACACTAAACTTGATAAGACTCTCGTGATGGGTGGCCCATCATCTCTGGAATATCGTCAGAAAATTTGCCATGGAAGTTAATGAGAGGCTTGTGATGTTTGATCTATAGGAAAGGCAGTTGTAGGGTGTAACACATTTCATCACCCTAAGTAGCTATTTTGAACTCAAGGTTGAAAATTGAGGACTAGGCAGCTCCAGCCCCGATATGACAGCATTACTCCATTTCCAGTTTGATCTGGCTCGTGTAAAGATGTAAAGTATAGCAAGAAAAGTTTACTTTCTGAAACGTACAAGGTAACGATGATTCTTCGAGCATCTTTAGCAATGGATTGTATATACGAGTTCCACTTTAGGTCTCTAGTGAAGCTGAATTCCAACAGGCACTAGAGTCAAGGATCCTCCTTGTGCGAGCAACTATTCATTATGGTAGGTGAAATTAGGTTAGTTCAAAGCTAATTTTGTTTTGAACACAAACGGCGCTAATCTTACTACTACTATTTTACACGTAATGTGACATATCACGTACAGATGGTTGAATCTTCGTTATTTTCGCATTCCTTTGGTAAGAGCTTCTTTCCATTTACGACTACTTTGCACAAGACACTTTAGAAAGTATGGCTCCGATTTCTACAATATATCTTCAAATCTAGGGTCATCTGTTATCTGCCCTATTAATCTGAACTTATATCCTCTTTTTACGTTCACATCTCATTCGGTGACTCTAACATAAGTGACTCTTGAGCCTATGTATTAGATTAACATTAGTAAAAACAAATACAAATCAGTAAATGAATCTCTAAATCCAACATTAAAATACTAAATTTAAACACTGGCTTTTGAAATGACTGCTACTCAAAAAATGCATTACAGATGTTGGATGTCATTTTATAAAAAAAAAAAGGAGGTGAAGCATTTATCTGATTATCTTAATGTGTATTTTTCTAACTTTTCTGTTTGAAAGGACGTAAACGTATCCTGCAAACTACGTCATTTTTAGCTAAAAAAAGATTTGACCTTTGAATAGCGCTTTATTTGAAGCGTGCTCTAAGCCTTCAGGTAAATACTACAATTGGCAGAAACATTAAACAAAAAACTTCGATTTGACATCTCTGCATTTTATGATTCTTAGTTTTCTTTTACAGAACAAGGTTGAATTTATAAAATCTGCCAAAACGCAGAAAGAATCAAATTTATCCAACACCTACGTCCTTCTTCCGTTTTAACAATCTGTTTTTACGAGGAGCGCTCTGAAAATAATGTCTCCTTGTTTATTAGGTGGATTGGTGACATCAGAGGTTGATGTTGATTGGATGAACCACCCCGCTAACAAGCCATACATTTCTTTTATGTTGATATACACAGCAGCTTCGGTGAATTGCATCTGAAATGAAAATGCATCCGAAGTAGAGGTGTGTTGCGGCGCTAAGCAGGTTGACTGTTAACCCCGCAAACGGAAAAATAATATAAGATAATACGATCGAAGCAAGGACAACAAAAACGAGGATGTAAAAGTTTAAGCCAAATTTTATTAAATAAATCTGGCACGAATATATACAGATAATCGTTTGTAGTAGTTCGGTCGTGTAGTCTTGGAGGAGCGTTGTCAGGTTTCAAGGCGACAGCTTGGAGGTAGGCCGAATGGAAACAGGGATGTCCGAGGTCCAGTCGATCCCTGGATGTCTGTACTTGAGTAAAGGGTGCGTCGGCGCTTGCAGAGAGAGAGGATCGACGCGGACAGTGCTGTGGTGTAGTCAGTTCGTCCTTGGGTGGAGTGTCGCGCAGGATCGCAGCTTGGTAGTCCTAATAAAAGGACGCGGCTAGGTTAGTCCTGAAAAGGACTATTGCATATTATGTAATCGAGGGCAGACTATTGCATATCATGTAACCGAGGATAGGCTAGTGCATATCATGTAACCGAGTGTAGGCTAGTGCATATCATGTAGCCGAGGATAGACTAGTGCATATCATGTAGCCGAGGATAGACTAGTGCATATCATGTAACCGAGGATAGGCTAGTGCATATCATGTAACCGAGGATAGGCTAGTGCATATCATGTAACCGAGTGTAGGCTAGTGCATGCATGTAGCCGAGGATCTAGTGCATATCATGTAACCGAGGATAGGCTAGTGCATATCATGTAACCGAGGATAGACTAGTGCATATCATGTAACCGAGGATAGACTAGTGCATATCATGTAACCGAGGATAGACTGCTGCTGATATCTGCTGGCCTTGGCTGCTGCTGATGAGGAGGCCGGACTGCTCTGCTGGCTCTAGCTGCTGCTGGCCTTGGCTGCTGCTGATGAGGAGGCCGGACTTCTCTGCTGGCTCTAGCTGCTGCTGATGTCTGCTGGCCTTGGCTGCTGCTGCTTCGTGTGGTCAGCGTAGGTGAGAGGGGGGAGCTCGTCGCTCAACCCCGAGGCCAAAAATCAGCCGAGAAGAATGGTGTTTACTTGATTCCCACTAAATCAAGATATGACACAAGGTCGATTAACGTGGGAGACCTGAGTGTTTTTTCCACTCATAGGCCACTGGTCAAAATATTGGTCATAGCTTGTCCAAGCTGGTCAGAGCCTAGTCAAAGCTGGTCATAACTTGTCCTAACAGGTCCAGGCCGAAGCCAGTCCAAGCTAGTCAAAGCTTGATCGAATCTCAGTCTACCACCAAGAAACGATCCATTAATTGTCAAAACCCCCAGCCAAAAAAAAAGGCCGGGCAGAATGGTATTTACTTGATTCCCACTAAATCAAGATATGACACAAGGTCGATTAACGTGGGAGACCTGAGTGTTTCCACTCAGGGCCACTGGTCAAAATATTGGTCAGAGCTTGTCCAAGCTGGTCAGAGCCTAGTCAAAGCTGGTCATAACTTGTCCTAACAGGTCCAGGTCCAAGCTAGTCAAAGCTTGATCGAATCTCAGTCTACCACCAAGAAACGATCCATTAATTGTCAAAACCCCCAGCCAAAAAAAGGCCGGGCAGAATAATTTGGTGGAAAAAAATCCGCTGTGTATATATAGGCTGAGGTCGGCAACGTAGCCTGTCAGCGATATATTTGGGGTGATGACTGAAAATTACCTTCTACTTTTTGGCTGTACACATGGATTCCATTCGGACACCATGTGTATATAAAGTAGTTTCTGGTAATTGTTTTTGGTTAGGAAAGTTAGTATATGTAAATGTTTCGTTTTTTCTTAGTTTGTGTGAGACGTTGACTGAAAAACGCTTAGTCACCGGAAGTTAACGGCATTCGTTATGTTTTCCGCGGTGACGCTTTTAGATGTTTGAGTAGCCGGCAGTAACTTCCGGCCGGGTGCGATAAGGCCCCTTCCTAGAGGATTGATCGTGATCAATTCACAAAAAGAATGTAAGTCTTTAGTTTGGCAGGAAAATGAACTCTTCTGCCCGATTTTGTTCGTACGACTGGTGTTGTTGTTTCATCTTCCGTCGTTGTTGGTAAGTCTGGCTCGGGAGAAGTTTCCTCTAACCAAGCTGGTTTAAGTCGGTCGATGGAGACTGTATCTTTGTTTTTGCCGCGCATGATCGTGACAAATTTCTTAGAACGCTTCAGAACTTTGAAAGGGCCTTGGTAGCTAGGTGTGAGAGGTTTTTACGGCGTCGTTCTAACAAAAAACAAAATCGCAGGTATCCAATTTCTGTGGTAAGTAGGAGCTTGTGGTTTGTTTTCGTGGGGAGTGTATGTAAGTTTGTCCATTTTGTGGCGCAGATCTTGCACGAAAGAACTTGGTGTGGATGTGCAAGAGTACTGCGGAAGGTGAAAATATTGCCCAGGTAAGGAGAGAGGCGTGCCAAACACGAGCTCTGCTGTCGAACACCCTAAATCCGTTTTGAGGGTATTCCGCAAAGAGAGCATGGTCATGGGGAGGTTGTCGACCCAGTTGTGTATGTCGAGTTTGGTTGACAGGGACGTCTTTAAGGATCGGTGAAATCTCTCCACGAGGCCGTTTGCGCAAGGATGGTAAGCCGTCGTTTTAATGTGTCTGACACCCAAAAGTTGAGAGAATTCTCGGAAAAGCGAGGACTGAAATTGTGGTCCCCTGATCTGTAGTGAGAACTTGTGGTACGCCAAAGTTAGTAATCCAGTTGGTGAGAATGGCTTTAGAAACTGTGGTAGCGGAAATGTCCTTAATCGGCACAGCGACTGGCCATCTCGAAAAACGGTCTATGATTGTTAGAAGGTATTGGTACCCCTGGCACATTGGTAGAGGCCCGACGAGGTCAACGTGGATGTGGCTGAAACGTGCGTCGGGTGTGGCGAATGTTCCAACTGGTGATTTTGTGTGCCTCTGAATTTTGCATTTCTGACATTGTATGCAGGTTGAGACCCAATTCCTAATGTCTGAATTCATGTTGGGCCACACAAATCGATCGGCGATAAGCTTGACGGTTGCTCGCTTGCTCGGATGAGATAGATTGTGGAGATGGAGAAATACTTTTTTTCTAAGAGATGGAGGAATGTACGGTCTTGGAGTATCAGTGCGGTGTCACAGAAAAGAGTTTTATCGCTGAACGGACACGGAATTCCTGCAGTTTCAAAGAAGTCTCCTTAATGATGTCAGGTATCGTCGTATCGTCTTTTTTGTTTGTCGGCTATCAGCTCCTGGCTCCAAACATCGTTATCCATGGTATTGACGTCTGTTCTGGACAATGTGTCTGCGACGGTGTTGTTCTTTCCTTGGACGTGTCTGATGTCCGTCGTAAACTGTGAGATGTAGTCGAGATGACGTGTTTCACGGGATGTATACTTGTCTGCGCTGACATTCATCGCGTTGATCAGTGGTTTGTGATCCGTGAAGATAGTGAAATGTCTGCCTTCCAGAAGATGTCGAAAATGACGTATGGACAGGTAGATCGCCAGGAGTTCTCGTGAGAATGTACTGTATCTTCTCTGGGCTGCAGAGAGTTTAGCTGAGAAGAAGGCTATCGGCTGTCTCGTCATGTTCACTTGCTGCTCCACTACTGCTCCTATTCCAACGTCGGAAGCGTCTGTTGTAAGGAAAATGCTTGTTTCCGGGTCGTTTTCGATGAATGAGAGTTTTGTGAAGTTTATCAGCGCTGTCTTTGCCGTTTCGAAAGCCCGCAAGGTATCTCCCTCTAGGGTAATTTGTTTGTTCTTCCGCTCTATGATGTTTGTTAACGGGGGAGAGAATTGTCGAGCAGTCGGGTATGAACCTGCGGTAAAATTTATCATACCGATAAATCGTCTGATTTGCTTTGTGGATGTCGGCGTAGGGAAGTTTTTTTATCGCGTCGACTTTCTCGGGTAATGGTGTGATACCGTCCTTGTCTATATGATGGCCTAAGAAGTTCACCTCAGATGCCCTGAAAGTGCATTTGTCCATGTTCAGCCGGAGTCCATAAAGTGCTATTCTTTGGAACACTTCGTTTAGATGTTTTTGTGTGTGTTCTCATCTATGCTGGCTACCAGTATGTCGTCGATGTAGGCATACGCGTACGTTAAGCCGCGCAGTACCTCATCTATGAAGCGTTGGAACGTTTGTGCAGCATTCCTCAGGCCAAAGGGCATCTTGAGGTATTCAAAGAGACCAAAGGGAGTGGTTACGGCTGTCTTTGGAATGTCCTCCGGAGCTATGGGGATCTGGTGGTAGGCCTTAGTTAGGAATATCTTCGAAAAGACGCGAGTGCCCTGCAACCCTGAGGCGAAATCGTGAATATGCGGGACCGGATAGCGATCGGGTATGGTTGTAGCGTTTAATCTTCTATAATCGACACATACCCTAAAGTCTGTGCTTCCCGGCTTAGGTACGAGATGTAGGGGTGAGGCGTATGGGCTATCGGAGGGTCGTATAAATCCGTCCTGCAGCATGTTGTTAAACTCCTTTTGGGCGTATTCCAGCTTATGAGGAGGAAGTCGTCGTGGGTGGGAAAAGGTAGGCTGTCCACTGGTCTTTATATGGTGCTGTGTTTGGTGTCTTGCCGGACCGGTACCTGCGAGTGGTTGAATGAGGTCCGAGTATCTGTTTAGGATCTCGATGTACTCTCGTCCGTGGCAAGTTGTCACACTGATCCCAGTGGTGTTGTGTCGAGAGAGGGTGCCTTTAACAGCAATGTTCGTGGTATTGTCTGATAAAGTTCTCGTATTCATGTGCACGGCTAGATCATAATGGGCCAGGAAATCTGCACCGAGTATTGGCGTTTTTACGTCTGCCTGGGTGAAAGTCCATGTAAAATCGCGCCGCATACCGATGTTCAGAGTCAGTGTCTTGGCTCCATATGTCTCGATCGTCGAGCCATTTGCTGCCTGGAGTTTATACAGGGTCGCCTTTCGGTCTTGCTGTTCTTTGGGGGGTATCACACTGATAGCTGCTCCTGTGTCCACTAGAAACTTTATGTTGTTCCGTCGGTCCCATACGTAGAAGAGGCGGCTTCGTATGTTTTTGCCGGGGGGTTCTGCCGCTCCTACCCGCCGGCTGTTTAGTTTTCCGACTTGGTTTTGGAGCTGTATTTGCAGGGTGCCGAGCAATTCTTTGCCCTGGTGCCGAATCTGTGATGGTACCAGCATAATTCCGGGTCGACTCGTCGACCCCTGCTGGTACTCCGTGCTCTCCGTCGCCAACCGCCGGTCGCCGGCATCGGGCCTCTCGATGTGCGGGAAAGGAGCATTCGTATATCCTGCAGCTGATGTTGCAGGTCAGCTACTGCCTTTTCCAGGTCCGTTTCTTTGGCTGGTGTGTCGTCTGGGCGCTGCACGGCACACACTCCTTGGTCCAGTTTAGTTGCGATGCGGTCAGCGGAATTTGCTAACTGGTCTAGTGGAGTGTGGTCAGCGATTGGTGCCAATATCTGCGTTATGGTAGTGGGTAACTTGTCCATCCACAGTTCACGCAAGATTGATTCGGCCATGGAATGTTTCCCCAGTCGGCTCCTCATGAAGCGTAGAAGCTGTGAGGGTGTTCTGTCGCCCCTGGTGACGTGGGTAAAAAGTTCCCGGAGCAGTTCCTCGTCCGAACGGCCGGTTCGTTTCAGAATAGCCTTGAGGCGAGTATATGGCTCCTGCTCGGGTACGTGTTCCAAGATGTCGGCTACTTCGACGACAACTGAAGGTGGCAAAACTTGTACCACGTTGACGAATTTTGCTTGTTGTGATGTGATTTTCCGTACCGAGAAAATGGCTTCCAGCTGTAAAACCAGTTCTTGGTGTTCTGCTCGTTGTACGGAGGGAGGTTTGTGAGTGGCATTGCCACATTTATGAGAGTGTTCTGTTCCCACTCGTCAGTTGCCATCTTGCTCGATCGTAAATATCGGGGTCACCACTTGTAGCGGGCGGTCCAGTGGCCCCGTATCACGGAAAGGGGTGAACGAGGTCACAAGAGACCCGCTAACATTTTTTGAAGACGTTAAATCTGACCGTGAAACAATATGGACGACAGAACGAGGATATATATGATATATAGAGGTTTATTCTAAAGGAAAAGGAAATGAAGATGGTCGGAAACGGTGGAGGTGCTGGATGCTGGATGCTGCAGGAGTGCCGGATACTGCAGGAGTGAGCCGGATGCTGCAGGAGTGAGCCGGATGCTGCAGGAGTGCTGGATACTGCAGGAGTTTTAGTGCAGGCATTGATGGTCGAGGTTGGCAGTTGCTAGGATCATCGTTGTTGGGGGTTGAAGCTGATGTGGGTTGTTGCCAGGATGATCGCTTGGTGGTTGTTGATGTTGAGTGATGCCAGGATGATCTTTGTTGGTTGTTGAAGCTGAGTCGTTGCCGGGATGCCAACTTGTTGCAGCAGTTCGTGTTGCCAACGTTGTTTGTCATTGCCTGGATGCCAACTTGACGTGTTGGGACGGAAGAGAGAGAAAGAAAGTTCCCAACTATCGTCAAGTTGGCAGACAAAAGAAATGGAGCGTAACTTAAACACAGCCCGTAGATCGGCGCCCTTGGCCAATGATGGCCAAGGGGCCTGCATAGACGACCGTTGCGGCCGCCGACAGCCTCCCCAAAGCTTGGGAGAAATCACTGTCTTGTGTCGAGGGGGACCAGCAAGAGAAATTGGCTAAGCTAACCGAAAAGTCTCTATAAAAAAATACTACAAGGTTAGCTAAAGATAACTATGGTCTAAAAATGACTAGATGTATATTACACCTAGCTTTGTAATATAGCCTAACTAAAAAAGGGGATTTGCTAGTCCCTCTGACGTGTTAACAGTGTGTGAGGAGTATGAATGAGAGGTCAAGGTCGAAAAGACCTGTTCCTCTGCTGGTTCAAGGACAGAAGGAGGAGGTAACTCCGACAGGTGTGTCATTTAACTCCTTTGCGCGGAAATATTGCACACAGCGGCATTCATTGATGCTTGCTGAACATTTACAGAAACCATAGTTTTCATGCATATAAATAGGATTCAGAACTTCCGGTGCGTCCAATTTTATTATCATCTTATTCATAATAGATCTTCATACAGTAGAATCCCTGACAATCGGACTAAGAAGGAATTCCGGATATGAGGAATTGGTTACAATATTTGGATATCTAAATATGATTAAAATAAAAGAACTGACATTTAACATTTATTTCCAATGATTTACTGTAAACAAAATAAGCTAACAGTGAGTGAAATATAACGGAAATGACTTTAAGATAAAAGAAATAAATTATGTAATGTTAATGAAAATTCATTAAATTAAGTATGCAAAACATTTAATCACTGCTGCCTGATGATTCTTTCTCTTCTAATGTCATTCTCAACTTTTTCCGCTTTTTTGTTTTGCTTTTGTTCTTGAATTTTTTTAAACGAAATACACTTTTTAACTCTGCGTTGTTGCAATCGCCATAGCTGAATGCTGGCTTTCTTTCCATAAAACTGACAACCTTTTCAATATCTTTTTCAATTTCAGTGCAGGTTTCATCACAATCAAGTTTTTTTTAATTTATTTCCTTGCTCATCGTGGCAGTGTGAATGCTGGAGAACAGTTTCTTTGGAAGATTTTATATCATACAGTGTTGATTTCCTATGTTAAACTCAGCCATTCATTGCAATGAATTTTCACCAGCGTCTAGTCTGTTTAATATTTCAACTCATTGCGTTAACTCTAAAGTTGTTCTTTTCCTCTTATTCCCATCATCTTTTGCGCCAATACAAGCCATTACTGTGAAATAAGCATAAGCAATTATCCAAAGTAAATTTCCTGAAAAACAGAAATTTCAAATCAGTTATATATCACCTAAATAGTTCAAATATACACATCAAAATGTTCGGATGGGTAAGATTTCGGATATAAGGCACTTCGGATATGAGGGATACCGGATATGAGGGATTCTATTATATATAGTAAAAATCGAAATAGAACTGGGCTCGACGATTTCACATTTTGCGTGGTATAGGTCACATTAAGCGCACAACCGGGAATGACGAAGCATCAGTAAAAAATATGAGAACTGAAACTTGATGTGGAATTGCCGCTGCTAGTTGTATTTACTTCGAATCTAATTGAAAGACTTTGAGATTGATGGATCTGACCATTCAAAAATGATCGTTCGAGGGCAATATAAGCAGTCATCGCTCGTATGTATCACCAATGAAGTTGATTATATTCAAAGTGTTCTGTACAGTAAGGGAAGAAATGCCCAACAAACAAAATTGACAAAGTTTGCAACAATAAAAAAAGAAAAAGGTAAAAACAGGGCAAAAATACTAAGCAGACAATATATATATATATATATATATATATATATATATATATACATTGCGTGCCAAATTATTATCGAGATAACATTTTTTCTATTTCAAAAACCGTCCAATCAATTCACACAAAATTTTCACACAATATTGGCAACATTGACCTGCGCAATCCCTGAAATTTTCGTAATGATCTGCGCAATGTAAACAAACTGAAATGCCATATTTTTTATCAGCACGCTGATTTGACCGTGCCAAATTATTAGAAAAGTGTAAGAATTTAGTGAAAAGATGGGCCGTAAAAGCAGTTTAAGTGATGCTGAAAAGAAAACTATCACCTCAGAACTCTCAAAAGGTAAATCTACCGTAGAAATTTCTAAAATGATAGGGAGGTGTCATCAAACAGTGAAAAAGTTCACCGCCGACCCTACGCAAGTACGCAAAAAGGCAGATAAAGTCAAGCCGAGGGTTATTTCACGTCGTCTCATGTCACGACTTAAACGGGAGACCACGAAGAACCCTGGACTTACCAGCTTTTCAGTCGCATTAGGGACCCTACTGTGTCTAAAATTACTCGGTGTCGGTATCTGAGGGAAATAGCAGCAACAGTCAAACCTTTATCGAAGCCTCCGTTGACGAGAAATCACATTCAAAATCGATTGAAATGGGCCGAGGATAATATGAAGATTGACTTCTCTAAAGTTTTGTTCACAGACAAAACTCGAGCAACACTTGATGGGTCAGATGGTGCAAAGGCTGGGTAATGAACGGACAGAACCGCCATCAGCGTTTGAGACGCCAACAAGCCGATGAAGGCATAATGATCTGGGGTGGTATTATTGGAAAAACATTAGTGGGCCCATGGAGAGTACCAGATGGCGTCAAAATGACTGCTGATGCCTACATAGCGTTTATGAAGGAGCATCTTGAATCGTGGAGGAAAAGGCAAAGAGTTGCCTTCAGAAGGGACATTGTTTTTATGCAAGATAATGCTCCCTCACTTGCTGCTCACAAAACTACTGAATATTTGAAACATTTAGGCTTCGATGGACCTCGAAAAATGAAGTGGCCAGCAAATTCTCCGAATTTGAACTCAATCGAAAACTTTTGGAGCATCATGAAGCGAAGACTGTACGCCAACGGACGACAATTCAGGAGCAACGCTGAGTTGTGGGAAGCAATTCTTGACATATCTCGCGGCATTACAGCAGATGACATCCTACAATTAACAGATTCTATGGATCGTCGACTTCTTCAAGTAATTTCAAAACAGGGAAAGCAAATTCCCTATTAATTTGTTTAAAACTGTGCCTTTGTTTGTATCTGTTATTATTTGTTTGATTATCTTATTTATTAGCTTCTTTTGATCATAAACATTCACGTTCAACATTAATAAACGTTTTGTTTGCTCAATTCTGGGAACTTTACTAAACCTTTCTAATAATTTGGCACGGTCAAATCACCGTGCTGATAACAAATATGGCACCAGTTTGTTTACATTGCGCAGATCAGTACGAAAATTTCAGTGATTACGCAGGTCAGTGTTGCCAACATTGTGTGAAAATTTTGTGTGAATTAATTGGACTGTTTTAGACAAAAAGTTATCTCAATAATAATTTGGCATGCAGTGTATATAATATTATAAATTAACTGATTGAAAATATGGTTTCATATCTTACTGTTCTCTCTCTCTCTCTCTATATATATATATATGTATATATATATATATATATATATGTGTGTGTGTGTGTGTGTGTGTGTGTGTGTATATATATATATATATATATATATATATATATATATATATATATACACACTACAATTCAAAGGTTTGAAACCACCCCAGAATTAGCATGGGATGAATTTAACAGAAGAATGGAAAAGTTCTTAGAGAAACTGACAAAAGAATAGAATCAATTTTCAAACTTATACTTTGAGAAACCTTTGCAACGAATAACAAAAGTTAGTGCAGCAGTAATCAAGGCTAACGGGGAATATTTTAACGAGAGCAGAATTTAATCATTAAATGCTTTTTTCTTTGTCATAATCAAATTTTTAATAAAAAGTAATGTCTCACTTTTCTTTAACCATGTATAATAATTGTCTCTTATTTGATGTACAAAACAACTACTTGTGTGTACAATTTCAAATATTACCAGGGTGGGCTCCAACAATTGACCTGTCGTGTGTATATATATATATATATATATATATATATATATATATATATATATATAGAGAGAGAGAGAGAGAGAGAGAGAGATGATGATGATGATGATGATGATGATGGACTCTTCCGTCGTTTTCGAAGTATGAGTGTCTTTCAGTTCAGTTTTTATGTTTATGTTTCATACGAGACAATAATCCTTCACGGATTTGAAAACAAATCCCCACGAAGAGCATATTGAGGTGTTGACAGTCATATGGGTAAATGTATTAGCCCGAGATTTAGTGTTAATTCTTAATTCTCTCAGATGGTTGAGACGATTCTTTTCAAAGTTATACCTCGGTAGTAGCTGTTTCTCCAGTTTACTCAGTTTTCAACAGCAAGTTTCAAACTCCTCTATAGAGAT